GGTTGTTGAGATGATAATCAAGCAGCTGCTGGAGAATTCGCTCATCGCGCTTTGCGTCTGTCAGCTGAGGAGGAGAAGGGAAGAGTGTCGGAGAAGGGAGGAAGAAGACAAACTGAGTCAACGGCTGCTCTACCTCAGCCCACTCCCTGCATCCCGCTCACAAATCCAAAGAGACGTGGATGAAAGTCCAAAGCGAGGAGCTGGATCGTCCGGATTGCATCAGAAGGGTAACCACAACGAGCATGCACTGATTGAGCAAAATTATTTTTAAGAAGAAACCTTTACACGATCGAGGAATAAATTAATTTGGCTTTAAAATCAGCATAAACCACCTACTTACTTCGAAATTAGGTTTAATTCCAAATAATCATTTTCATTAGGAGTTAAGTGTTTTTTTTTTAAAGCAGAATTAATTTTTATTCAGGCTAAAATTATTTTTATTTGGAATTAAAACTCTCATGTAAACGTAATTGCAATTCCTTTAACATCATTATTTTATGCCCATTTTTGTGTTTGTTTTGTTTAATCTTCTAAAAAAAAAAATAAAATAAAAATTGTATGCATAATATGTAAATTTTGCGTAAGTTCCGTGATCAATTGAAACAACCACCTTTGAAAATGTCATGAATAGAGGTGGGTTCATATAAGTTTTTCTTCTTACTCCTTTTCCAGAAATGTGCTTTTCTGTTGTTTACAATTTTTGTATATATGATTTTGCTTCTCTTTGGCACAAACTTTAAAAAGGTTTCAATCATCTTTGTTCTATATGTGGTAATACAAATTGGAATTACAAAAATGTCTATGCTAAAAGATTCATTAGTTCTTAATAAAAGTGATAAATGAGATTCCAAGAGCTTTACCGAGAGCACCAGCCACTTATCCGTGCATTCACCCCTAAAACAGTGTTAATTATGAAAACTGGGTGTATCTATGTTATTAGTTTCATGATTTACAGACAAAATAAATCTGCCTCTCTACATCATGGGCACAGAAGTTGAAAGGGTGTCCTGCTGGAAATACCTGGGTCTGCACATCACCGACAGCCTAACTTGGTCCACTAATGCAGCGAGCACTGTTAAGAAGGCCCACCAGCGTCTGTATTTTTTGAGGAGACTCAAAGCTGCTGGACTAGGCCTCCCTGCTCTCATGTTTTTTTATCGATGTAGAGTGGAAAGTGTGTTGACCCAGTCCATCACGGTGTGGTACGGCCACTGTTCAGCCCAGGACAGGACAGATCTACAGCGTGTGGTCAGAGCAGCAGAGAAGATCACTGGATGTGACTTTACACCCATCAGTGAAATTTATGAGGAGCGTTGTAGAAGACGGGCCTCCAGGATCATGGGGGACCCCTCGCACCCTCCCACCATCTGTTTGTTCCTCTGCCTCTGGGAGGAGACTGAGGAGCATTAAATCCAGAACATCTCGGCTGAAGTTCAGCTTCTTTCCTGAGGCTGTCAGACTTCCTGCTTGGGTTGCCTCTCTGTCTTGCCACGTTTTACTAATTGTTCATTGAACTGCTAAATGTTGTTGTTTTGAATGTATTTATTTTTTAACATTGCTTATTTATTATTGTTTTTATCTCTTTCTGGATCACTGGGCCTCGGGGAGCACATTTCGTTCTGTCATGTGTTTCTCTCGCATGTTTGAATGACAAATAAAGAACCTTGAACCTTGAACCTTGAAATAGTGAAATAAAAACACCAAGATAATGTAGAGAGGGTTAATACAAACATTTCAAGATCAAAATGACGAGTCTGACGGCATCAATTACAGAGAGAGGGGCGGTGATTTTTCAATAGAAAGTGAAATGGAGCCAGAGCAGTGACCATGCACATTTACATAATCACAATGAAAGGTGCTGATAAAACAGATTTGCGAAACTAAACAGAAACCCTTTTCAAAGCTCAGAGTCAAATACACATGTTGTAGCAGATGTAGGGCCGGCCTCCATGACACCCGTTGTGTTGTGTGTTGTGTTGTGTGTTGTGCGTGTTGTGTGTTGTGTTTAGACTCGTACGTCTGTATCACTGCTGCTTGTGTCTGCATTACTCTGGCCTTGTTAGAAGTGCCACGGCTGTTTTGTGATGTGCTGCGAGCGCTCGCCGCTCTGTCACCACGCTCCCACTAAAGTGCTGCTGATCGCCCGCTAAACCTGACAGGCCAATTCCCCCAGGACGGAGGGAGGGAGGGAGGGAGAGAGAGAGGGAAAGAGAGAGAGGGATGGAAAGGAAAGAAGGGAAAAAGGGATAGGGAGAGAGAGGGCTGGGGGGAAAGAGAAGTAGGGAGAAAGAGAGGGACAGAGAACAGGATGGAGAGAGGGAGATGGAGAGAAAGGGACAGAGGGGTGGAGAGAGGAAGAGAAGGATGGAGTGAGACGGAGGAAGGAGTGACGGGGGAGGGAGAAAGAGAGGGATGGAGAGACAGAGAAGGCTGGAGGAAAAGAGGGAGAGAGAACAGGATGGAGCGAAATGGAGATGGGGGGAGAGAAAGGGATAGAGAGAGGGAGAGAGAAAGATGGAGAGAGAGGGAGAGGGATGGATGGAGAGAGAAAGACAGAGGGAGAGATGGAAAGGGAGAGAGAGAGAGAAAAGGAAAGAGGGAGAGAGAGAAAGACAGAGAGGAAGGAAGAGGGGGAGAGAAAGATGGAAAAAGGGATGGGGAGAGAGAGAGATGGAGAGAGCGAAAAGGATGGAGAGAAGGAGGTAGTAGAGAGAACAGAATGAATAGAGAAAGATGGAGAGGAGGAAAGAAAGGGATGAAGAGAGTGAGAGAGATAGGGAGAGAGAGAAAGATGGAGACAGAGGGAAAGAGGGTCAGGGATGGAAAGGGAGAGAGAAATGGAAAGAGAGAAAGAGAAAAGGAAAGAGGGAGAGAAAGAAAAAGAGAGAGGGAGGAAGAGGGGGAGAGAGAGAAAGGAAAGAAGGGAAAAAGGGATGGGAGAGAGAGGGGTGGAGAGAGGGGGAGAAGGATGGAGTGGGGGGAGGGATAGAGGGAGAGAGATGGAGAGAGAGAAAGGAAAGAAGGGGAAAAGGGATGGGAGAGAGGAGGGAGAGACGGGGTGAGAGAAGGATGGAGTGGGGGAGAGAGATGAATGGAGAAAGAGAAAAAGATAGTAGAAGTAGAAAGTAGAAAGCAGTAGAAAGTAGTAAAGAGAACAGAATGAATAGAGAGAGATGGAGAGAGGAGGAAAGAAAGAGATGAAGAGAGTGAGATGGAGAGAGAGAAAGGAAAGAAGGGAAAAAGGGATGGGAGAGAGAAGGGTGGAGAGAGGGGGAGACAGATGGAGACAGAAAAAATGATGGAGAGAAGGCGGTAGATAGAACAGAATGAATATGGGGAGATGGAGAGATGGAGACAGAGAGAGAGAGAAAGAAAGAAAGAAAGAAAGAAAAAAATACCAGAAAATAACAGCGGTGCACTGAGAAACACAAATAAGAAGTATTTGTAAAAACAGTCTAGTTCTATTTTAACATTCTTTTCAAACAAATGTAGGTCATTTCTAGAGGGTTAAGAGGGTAAAATTGAGCTGTAAATCAAATTTGAAACTTTAGGCATATGAAACACTGTTGATTTTTTATTTAAGCAATGAGTCAACATTGTAAGGGCATGAGGACTTAGGCTGCGTACAGACTGCAGCCTGAAGTGACCCAAATCCGATTTTTTGGCCTCTATGTGACCTGTATCTGATCTTTTAATAACAGTCTGAACGACACAGAACCGATTTTTTCAAATGTGACCCAGGCCACTTGGATATGTGGTCCTGAAACCGATACATATCTGATCTTTTGACATGCAACTTAAGTGCAAACGGCCAAAGTGCATTCATCCCACCTACACGTCATCAACAAGCCACAAACGTCACTATTCTGCGGTGAAGTAGGCAAAAATTATTAATGAACTCTGTGTCACTGAAGCGAAGCACATCACCACTCACCACTCTTGGCTACGTCTCCTCATCCACACGTTCCTTTTCAACGGACGTCACTGCCGCTGCCCCACAAAACACCACGGCCAAAAACCTCATCCTTCTCCTTCTCAATCTCCTCCTTAAAACAAGTAAGTTGTTCATGTTCTGGCTCCGGTACAAGAAGAACTTTAAAATCTCCAGGTGCTCAATGCTCGCCTCCATGTTTGGACAACTTCTGTAAACACAGAGCACGCTCGCTGCGGTTGACGTCGTCGTGTCTCCAGTGCGCATGCGGGACACTTTCGGGCCGTTTACTGTTCACACTGGAGTCACATACAAGTCGCATTAAATTGGAAATGTGAACGACCTCGCAAAAACATCGGATATCACAAAAAAATCGGAATTGAGCACCCTGCTGTCTGAATGTAGCCTTAGTATGGACTCATGACTATAAAAGACCAATGTCCTGTCTTATAACAGAATATAACAGGGTCACTTGAAGATTAACACCACAGAGAGTGAACAGATCACTTTGTTTACCAACTCCACACACAGAGTTTATTATTAGTAATGTCATTTATAAAATATGTTTTCACCCCAAAAGCTGCCGAACAGTCCCACCAGAGCCGATAAAGTTTCACCAGTCCAAAGTCACATTGGACAGTCAAACTCAAAGCTAATATCCCCATCTGTGGTTCTCCGAGTGTCCTTAGTCCCACACAGCGCGAGTCAACACACAAACAAGTGCATCTGGACTCTCCAAACTTAAAGCACTGTACCTGATTTTTACTGTCCTCAAAACAGAACTAGTTCATTTAAAACGGTTTGATGTGGTCCAAACTTATTCAGAGCATCTTAATTATTCGCCACGATGAGTTTACAAGCACTTTTCACAACTTTCAGAGACCAGAGCATGAGTTTTACAGTGACGGTAAAGCTATTAACAACTAGCATACTAACCACACACTTCCTGAACAATCAGCTCACTCATTCTCTGATATTCTTCACCACCAATACCACCAAAATCAATGTCTGGGGGAAGATATGTTCACAAACAAAAAAATACACATATAGAGTGGTTGTAAAGTCTTACCTTGCCACCCTGGTTTACACACAGGCTTGACGTCTATGTGGACCGGGACAGTGTGCAGCGCCCTCTTCTGGCCGCAGTCCCACGCCGTCACCTGGATCTCGTACTGCTGCTGCCGGTCGTAACTCAGCTTCTCTGTGTTTCGGATGTTACCTGAAACAAAAAGGATCAAGTCAAAGCTAGTTTCAATACATTTCAATGGTTGTAGCATTAAAAAAAACATAAAAAAAACCACAACCATCAACATAATCTGAAATATGTGTTGTTCTTGTATTTCTTGTATCTTGTAGAATGATTTTCTTCAAATGTTAATGCTCTTGTTGCTAATTTGCACTGTGAACTGGGTCTTAATTTTAAAACCTAATCAACAAATTCAATCATAAAAGCAATCATTTGGCAATTTTTCAAAATCTTGTTTGTTTAAAATGGTAAAAGCGTAGAAATTATTGTACTGGTTTGAGTATGTGCACATGTATCTCCAAAGCTATTGAGGAAAGTTATTGAAATGTTACACAGCATGGCTTTATGGTATGGTTCCCACTCTTTTGCAGCGACAAAATTTCAAAAAAAATTTCTGACTTTTTCGTGAACTGAACTGAATTTTCCATGACTTTACAACACCTACATGTGTAGAATTGATCAGACTTTTAGGGTTAAACACGAAATGTTAACACTTTCCACTCACCTTATGGTTTGGTATTATAGTTTTTAACATTCAAAATACTGTCAGTGCATTTATTGTCGTCTCTTTTAAACAAAAATTGCAAATGTTTGGAAATAATCATAACAGTCTAATGAGAATTTAACAGAACGCTGTAGTTGCATGAAAGAGATACTAAAATTCCATGACTTTTCCAAAACTTTCATTAAATTTACAAAATCCCATGACTTTTCCAAGCCTGGAAAATGTCATTTTCAATTTCCATGACTTTTCCAGGACTTCCATGACCTTGGGAACCCTGTATATGGTTTCTAATAATAACCTTAAAAACATGTAATCTTATCTGACCTGAAATGCTCATCCAGCGTGACGATAAAGTCACAGATCCATGTAGACAACTGTATATTGCACACCTACATGCAGATCGTGAAAAGGCGATGCAAAAAAAAAAAAAATCTCTTGCGACCCATATTGAGGGTTGTGCCCAATGACGTAGTCCACTGATTTTAGAAAAGTAATTCCATCAAATGAAAGAGTACCTGAATACAGTTACTCAAAATAAGTATTCAGAATATGTATTTTCGGTACATGTATTCAGTTCCCAGCCCTGTTCATGAATCAATTTTTAAGCAGCTCATTTAGAATTGAGATAACCGCCTCTCTATTTACATGCAAATATGAAACCACTGCTGCACTTAACAGAGCAGTTAAATCATATCTGACCTGATGCCGCTAAATAAATATTTTCATGTTGGGTTCATTATTTTTACCCTGTCAGGGATTTTGCAGGTGATTTTCAATTTCCGATACCAACACATTTTGTTCACAGCTTGAATTTCCATTAGCAACAAACACCATTTAGATAATATGATGTGTCAAAGGTGGGGCTGCATGTGGCGATGGAAAATTGTACAAAGTTTTATGGACTCCAAACTTCCTTCGCGTAAAATATTGCAGGTTATAAAAAGTGTTTTGGTAGCCATTATAGAATACAAAATGGTGCTTATCCAAAACACAACAGAATTGAATGGGTAATGTAAGGCAGGAACAGCCTGGGGTCCAAAACTTATCACGCCGAGTTATTGAAGTCATAAAATGCGCTTTAACAGCCAAACAAGCCTGATTTTATTACACTTATAATGGAAGAAATACACGTTTTTACTGCATATTCTCGTACACTGTTCTAAACAAGATGCCAGATGAAATTGCGTTGGTCATGGGGCATTGCCAAGGCTGTAAAAACACTATAGTTTGTTTAGTCACTTTATGGTTGGCTGTAATGGTTTTATGAGATCGTTTTTCTTATTTCAGATCATAATAATGTGCTATGATCAATGGTTCATTCTCACCGAGGGCCCTTAAGCTTGTACATTAAGTTTGGAGATTCAGGAGTGAAAACAAAATGTACATAAAACGTGATGAACGGTGTATTCACGGAGACGATTCTGAGTCTATAAAAGACAAAAATATCTTAAAAACAGCTCAAAATATGAATTGGAAATGTAAAACCTGCAAGATAAGAATGATAAAAAATGTATCAAGTAAAACAAACAGGGTAAGCCTAATTCCAAAAGTGTTGTAGGTATAACTACTTTGAATTTGATTTTGTTGTTGTTTTTATTACTACTACTGCTACCACTCTTGCTACTACTATTACTACTACTACTGCTGTTGCTGCTACTGCTATTGCTACTACTACTATTGCTACTGCTGTTGTTACTACTACTATTACTGCTACTGCTACTACTACTGCTACTTCTATTGCTACTACTAAAGTACTACTGCTACTGCTGCTACTACTACTACTGCTGCTGCTGCTGCTACTACTACTACTATTGCTACTACTATTACTACTAGTACTACTACTATTACTGCTACTTGTACTACTATTACTGCTGCTGTTGCTACTGCTACTACTACTACTAATGCTACTGCTACTGCCACTGCTACTACTGCTACTACTGCTACTGCTACTGCTACAACTATTAATGCTACTGCTGTGGCTACTGCTACTACTGCTACTACTACTACTACTACAACTACTCCTACTACTGCTGCTGCTACTGCAACTGCTTCTACTTCTACTACTACTACTACTACTACTGCTGCTTCTGCTGCTCGTACTGCTACTACTACTACTACTACTACTACTGCTGCTGCTGCTAACTACTGCTTCTACTACTACTACTACTACTACTACTACTACTACTACTACTACTACTACTACTACTACTACTACTACTACTACTACTACTACTACTACTAAAATGAGTTCAATAAATCTCTAGCCTTCAACTGACCAAAATGGCTACTTCTTTAACACCACAAAATCAACAACATTTACTACAACTACTATAACCTGCTCTTTGCATAATGGGAGTCAGATACTTCCAGTCAGAGGGACGATCTGCATGGCCATTTCTGCTCTAATGTAATCCTTAGGAGGTTTTTGCAGAGTTGAGCTAAAATCACTAAATATTGACAGATCGAGGAGTGGACAGAGAGCTTTTGTGTTTATGAAGGTATACTTATATGTGTGTCAGTGGAAATACTAACTTACTAAAACGTTAACTTTTATGGATGAAGGATCAGCAACCTGTTTATCTCTACAAAGATGTTATTGAATGTTCCATGGTATGACATTAAACATTCCCATCTAGCATTTATCATTACGTATGTTTCTATTGCACAAAAATACATGCATTCCGTCTGTGACTAGGGACGACTCTCCACAGATCTGAATCATAACGTAATGTGCGCAGAGCTGTGACCTGCTTGTTTCTCACGTGATAGATAGGCTTAATCTATACTGTGGAACATTCTAGACAAAGCAATAAATGTTACGCAGTGCACCTTTGCATCTAACATAACAATAAAATCAAATTTGACGACCCGATTATTTTTAGTTGTGGATAAATGGCCGAGGGGGGTGAGGGGTATTGTTCTTTATTGGCCCTAGTCAGTAACGTAGTAACTGGCGAGGGCTATTGTTCTTCATGGGTTTCTTATGCTCTATTATTATTTTTCCTTGCAAACGATCACAAAAATTTGATAAAATGAGCATCGCGATGATAACCAAAGTGACCCAACTCAGCAGCGCCGCCTAGAATTGGACCCCTATGGGAGTGGGGACAAGCAAAGTTTGTCGCAGGCAAAAGAAATTTGGGACAGTGAGACAAGCCAAAAGATGAATTGAAGTCGACAATATTGGATCAAAAAATCGCTGCAGTTTTGACTTGCTTGTCTGCAAAAAGATTCAAGTCCCTGGTGTTTGGTCCAAATGAGCTCAGATTTGACATGTTACATCTACAGGCATAAATACACAAAAACATGCCGGTGAAAAACACGTTCATTTCCTTTTTCTTTGGTGACCTGTCACGGCCACAGGCATTGGACTAGAGAGCTCACACTCAAATCACAATTGCATGATCCAGGCCTGAATGTAATGGAATATGAAATCTAATAAAAGTGAACGTGCTGAAATTTGGATCACTAATGCATGATTTTGGTCTGATTCTAATACAATATAAAGTATATGAAAAGTGAACACTATAGCGCCCCCTACCATAGACATTAACATCAACATTATCTGACTTGTACCAAATTCGGGGATTAAATTCTATGCATGATTGTGAGCAAAAAGTATATTACGGATATTGGACATTTTTCACAGTTGGCCAGCAGAGGTGCAATGACTCCTCGGAAACATTTAAAGGTGCATTATGTAATTTTTGTAATAGACAAGCTGTCGTTCTGAGCGGATGTTGGGACGAGAGAGTGGGGTGGCAGGGCAGTCACGAGACCCCGGCGGTCGCGTGGGAGGGGCGTGCACACCGGGGCGAGGGCCATCATCGCCAAGAGCAGCTTTAATTCTCACATTGTTCTTGCTTATATAAAATTCATTGCAGTCCAACTTTCTCCGACCCAATTCCGCAGTGATTTATACTACAGCCCGGTACTGCATATAGCACATTTAAATCTCATAGATAAGTGATCTCTGTGGTGCAGTCTCGCCTGTGGACCACAAAGTACAGTGAACCTCCTGCTCTGAGTTAAACGCTCCCATCCACCACAGACCTGTCTTCCTCCGCCACGGCCGACGCACGCTCCCTCATGTACTCCTAATGTGAGTGTTAATATTTAATAACACTTCCACTTTAGACAAATGACAAAGCTGCACTCAGACAGCTCTGGTTTAAACAGGAAGGAGCCAGACACAGTGAACAAGAGGTGTAAGAACGGAGAAAGAACATACAAGGGCTGAGCGAAATAGATTCTTTGCAGCTGTATCAACATTCCTTGAGCGTGTGATGCTAACTGTAGGCTCTGCTCTGTCTGAAGCATGATTACTTAAAGGGATAGACCGGAATTTTGGACATAAGACCTCATTTCCTAGTTAGCCAGAGTGTCGGAGACGTATGGAGACACTTTTTTAAATATTCCATTCAGTCCTTGTATTTGCAGAGGTCGCTGGTGCTAGGCTAGCGCATGT